ACACACACACACACACACACACACACACACACACACATGTGATTGCTCCTTTAAAGTTTGGTAACATATACAGTACGCAAACAAATGAATTACACAACATCATAGTAACAGCAGTTTTGTTTATCGACGACTCATCGGTGATGATAGGGGCCAAAAGGTTGGAAGAACAGAAGGGGCGTGTGCGTAAAACCCCGAAAAAGATATTCCGGAAAGTGAAAAATGTACCTACCATCGCCACTTTTCTTCCTTGTACGCTTACTATTCTTCTTCTTTTTCTTTGTGACGTCGGGCTTTTTGTCTGAAGTATTGAAACGGACTAGTATCTATATTACTGTAATGGATTCAAAGACGATTGCTTTAAGCCTGAAATGACTATTTCTCGTGACAATAAGTTATGTTGTATTACGATATTGCATATTCTGCTGTTTAGGGTAACTGTTTTCCTCCATAATCAGATGATATTGGTACTTATATGTTTTGTTTTTCGTTTTATTAATTAAATATTCAAACTGTATCATCACTTTGTAGCTTTTATTATTTCGTAAGGAAATTAAAAACATTTAAATGTAGAAAATATCATACCTTGACCTGGTTCGCTTGATTCTTCATTGTTGAATTCAATAGCGTGTAATTCTTTAATGAAATCTTCCCAAATGTCATCCGAATATTTTTCGGGAGGCCCTAAATATTGATACAATATGTATATTGCATGAATTACTAATACAAAATGTCGAGATCAGTTAACATAATCATAAAGTTTTCAGTTGGATGCAGATTTGATTATATTTATCTGGTAATATGAACTTTAGGCATCTAATAAACATTAAAATAACTGATGACAACGATGATTAAAATGTGAAATTAACATGAACTAGTAAACTCTAGTAAGTAAGAACTTAGGCAAAGAAAATCATTTAATTTTCAATGATATGGCATTGAATTCAAAATATTACTATTACTAATAGTATAATATTTTCCTGCAGTTCCTAGTACAATTTTTTTATTTATTTTTTGACTTTATGAATACTTCGAGGGGTTTTCAAATTAAATAAAACCCGAGGCATTGCCGAGTGTTTTGCCAATTTTGAAAATCCGGAAGGTGGAATTGCCCTATCCTATACCCTTTGGAATGGAAGAGTATTTTTCTCTCATTCAAACTACCAAAATAATCTCAGAAACCATGAAAATGCGTTTGGACTGGCTACCATTGTGAAAACGAATTTGTCAGCCAGATTAAGCATACCCCGTATTTGCAAACAGACTTTGCCTAGAAAAAAAAACATCTTACGTATACGGTTAATATATCAGAAATTTTCATCACGTTGATAAACACGAAGATAACATTTCTTACACACCTTTCTAACCATGGACAGCTCTATCTTAAACACAATGAAATGAGAGAAACATATACATTTTATCATATTCTTTCACTTAAAGTGCTCCATACATTAATTATAAGATACATGATACCATATGATTTGATGTACGTCTAAAAACCAATGTAGAAAAAAAGTATAAAGTACCTCCTTTGAAATGCTTGTCCAACAGGTCTTGTCGCTTTAATGTCATTAAAGCTGTGTAAACGACATGTTGGTGTTTTGTCGTGTGACGTCCAATGGTATCGAGCCATTTTGATATGACCAGTTGGTGAAGATGTTGTCCAGTTTCTTGGATAACTTTTACCTGCGATTCAGTGAATCCGATATGCGAGGCAAACTCGGCGAAATTTCCCCCGAGTTCTTTTGTAAGATACGACAGCCATCTGTTTGCCTTCGAACCTTAAGAAAATTGTGTAGATGACATAATATATTACAGTATCGTGTAGGTGGTTGTTTTTTATAATTAGATAAAAATAAGGAACAGCTTTTGTATAACATATTTTATTTTAGAAACCGTCGATTGACGTGATAAGAATAAACTACACGGTCAATTTCCTCTTTCATGTTCCTAGTAAAAACTAACCAATCCAGACAGGTGTCATGAATTGAGAAAATATTGCAAGGGAACATCAAGCATCCCCCGCCCCATCCCCCC